TTGTAAGATTGGTTTATCATTTATGCATGTTTTTATACAATTGTTGCATATTTCATCTATATTTTACATATGTATATGCTTCACTTTTATCAAGTACGTACTTGAGAGATTGGTAGCTTAATTTTTGGGTGAGTTTTTGTCATCGTTTTTTTGTACGTCTGGGAACCCGTTGATAAGTGTTAGATTAAGTGTGTTTGTAATTTTTTGGAACAAATCAGAGGAATGATTGGAGTTTGGGTAAATTTGATGTTAGGTTAAAATTTCTTTGTAATTTTAGTCTGATGTGCATTACCCATTTAGAAATCACGCTTGAGCAGCTATTTTGCAAAGTACCAAACCAGGGGAAGAAGAGCACTAACACTTTGTTTAGGTAGAACCGTTTGTTTTGGCCAAAATCAAAAGGAAAAAAAATACTTTTAACCAAATGGTGTGTTTTCTTTCTTCTTTGTCCATTTTGCCTAAATCATTTAACCAGAACATGACAATTTCACTGAAAAAATCCCATTTCCCTACTTTTAAATGAATTAAGCATGCCATTTTAACACCTCCTATAAAATAATTATGTAAACCAACTAAAAATCCGACTTTTTTCCTACTTTTGAATGAATGAAGCATGCAATTTAAATTTTGTCCATGTGGTCTAAACTATTGAATCAAAACATGACAATTTCATTGCAAAAACCCCATTTTTTCCCACTTTTGAGTGAATTGAGCATAACATTTTAAGGCTTTGCATAAAAGATTATATGAGCCAGCTAAGAATCCTATTGTTTTTCTACTTTTTCAATGAATCAAACATGTCATTTCAAATTAGTAGCTCAATTTTCTTTCTGCTGTTACAACGAGTGGCTTAAGTGCCCCATTTTTCTCTACTTTCGAATGAATTGAGCATAGCATTTTAAGGCTTTGTATAAAAGATTATATAAGCCAACTAAGAATCCTTTTTTTTCCTACTTTTTCAATGAATCAAATATGTTATTTCAAATTAGCACCTCAATCTTCTTTCTGCTGTTACAATTAGTGGGTTAAGTGATGTTACAGATTTGTTTATGTTTCTGTTGAGATTTTATCTTTTTTTTCTTTGGAATTGTCTGCGGATCAATATCAGCGTAGAAAAATCTCTACGGCGTGTGAATTCGGATTAGAATTCTTCGGCACTTAGCTGATTTTTGTCTATCAAATTGATCGGCCATTCTATATATTTGTAAGTGGTTTTGCCTTTGTATAAAAGATTATATAAGCCAACTAAGAATCCTTTTTTTTTCTACTTTTTCAATGAATCAAACATGTCATTTCAAATTAGTACCTCCATTTTCTTTATGCTGTTAAAATTAGTGGCTTAAGTGATGTTACAGATGTGTTTATGTTTTTGTGTACATAGACAAACCCGTTCATGCAAAGTTTATGTTACTAATTTGTTTCAACATCTCAACATTCGTTCATTTGATTTAAATATTCTTCTATAACATGTTAAAACTTTATTTTTTCAGTACCTTATCACAAAATAATTCCACCTTGGACAAATTACAAGGTATGCTACAATCTATGCTTTCATAAATTACATTCAAATTGATTCACTTAAGAATGCATTGAAACATGTTTAGTTTCATGTCCGCAGCATCGCGCGGGTACCATTACTAGTTGATCCTATTTCTCATAGCTTCAGAGGTTGAAGCCAATAACAACATATTAATTAATATAGTACGCTACAGATGGATTCAAATGGTTAGTTTCAGTCAATCATAAAATGGGACATTTCATAGATGTTGTTCTGTAACTTTAATTTTTTTTTTTTTTTTTTTTTGTCTTTTCAGCGCATGTTACTAGTTTCTTGTGTGGTTATTAATGCCACAGCGACACGCCAACAAGCTACACTTATGTTTACACTTCACACCACATAAGTTGCGGGTCTGACAAGCCAATTAAATATGTCCATGTAAATTCTCTCTACACCTCCAAAAGTAACATAAAATGAGACGACTCACACTAGAAGTAAAAGTCAAAGACATCCAGCAAAATTCCACAAATGAACCCAGTCGGAACGACTCATTCAAAATAGCACCAAGCTAATCAGAAAACATGACGTGATGGAAACCACCCAATGTATTGTCACTAATAAAGAACATTTAACGGAATGCATACCTTGTCAAAAGTGAAACAACGAAAGCCATCCATGTAATCAATAACCATCCATATGACGTCACAAGGAATACCCTTCTCTCGAAATGTTCTTGTAATCTGCAAGTGCCGGTCAATGATCATGCAAATTGATCACATGCGGCTATAGAAATTTGTACTAACTATATGTGTCAAAGAATTTACATAACTATGATGTAAAACTGGTGAGATTCTAGTTGTCAAGCTCATTTACATGTTGTCCGTATCACCAGAAACAATTGATGGCATAGTATTTGAAACTGTATTTGACGAAACATGTAACCAACAAGAGAAAGTGAGAGAAAACTAAGCATGGATGATAGCCTAAGGAAGAGAGAGAGAGAGAGAGAGAGAGAGAGAGAGAGAGAGAGAGAGAGAGAGAGAGAGAGTGTGAGTTTTAACTTGAGATATTTTTTATGAACTTACGTCTTGAACTTTCTTATCAGTCCCTAGTGAGACCACTTTGGAATTGGTATGCCTAGTGAGAATTGGTATTTATGTAACCAACGGCATTGATGATAGCCTAAGGACCACTTTGGGGGCATAAATACAGTCCCTAGTGAGAAAATAAGCAACAATAAAAACAAATACACTAAAATTAAAAAGAATTATCAAAAGAAATCACATAACATATAGCTTCTGTCATATACCTGTGTTCTCTTCAAAATCCACCGCATTTAGTACTTATTGTTGTAGGCATAACTTATTGTTGTATGCCTACTTGAGATATTGTTGCTTATTTTCTCACTAGGGAATTGGTATTTATGAACTTACGTCTTGATAATTTTTATTGTTGCTTATTTTCTCACTAGGGACTGTATTTCTGCCCCCTGAGTTTGACATAACTTCCAAATGAGAACTACAAGCATTGCATATGATAGTTAGGCATACCAATTCCTCGGACAAGCTTCTGGAAGGTTGACTTCGGCAGTGACGTCGTGTAGAGGTCGGAGGTCGGCAAGGTTGTCTGGGATCGGCTTGTATGACTTCAATCTCCTGATGGTTTGCTGATGTAGATATAGACGCAATATGTCTTGGCGTTGACTTTGTTGATGTATCATGGCTTGGTTCGTTGGATACATGCGGCATAGTCTTCATGGATCGTCGTTGGGACTCAACGATGGACGAAAACACAACAAGTACTTCGAATATGCTCAACAAGAACTCCTAACTATGTCTCACTTGTGGCGTAGTGAAGTGAGGTGAGTTTTGGAACGATTCGAAGATTTCACAACTAAGGTCATATCGTGAACCTCCAAGATATTGCGATATCCCGAACGGTAAAGACATAACCATTTGAGAATTTTTCCTTGTGCGGGTTTGATAAGTAACCAGCGTCAGCATAACAAACAAGGCAAACATCATTCCGAGGATCAAGGGGGTTGGATCCGCTCGAGATGCGTTGAGATTTTCCCTCGTAGTACCTTCAGGGTACGTCTTTAATACCAATTCAGTGGTTGCGTGTAGGCGCGGTGCTGCATCTTTACCAAGATCAACAGCGAAGGAGATGTCCTGTCTAAATACAATGAGCTAAGTACAACGAAGCGCAAAGTTGAACTTTAGATATGGAATTTCGGATTCCATAACCTTTTCAAGGGTCTCATTTGCATATAACTTATGGACGATCAAAGGTATACTCAAAGGTGACACATTCGAGGTGTAGGGGTTCATGCATAATGGGGAATGTTTTCATGCTTCAAGGTCGTTTCAAATATCTTACTTTATTTTAAGCGTACTTGATTGGCAGAAAACAACAAAAGCCTTTGAATTTGTAGAAGATCTTTCTCGGAAAGCCGGAATTGTATCTCCAATGCATTGTATCACGTTCAACAAAGAAAAATTAAATTGAATCAATAACATTTAGATCAATTCAATAAAACAATTAATTAATCATAAAAAGAATAATTAAAACGTAATACTCTCCTGATTGAAGAATAAACTTTCTTTAGCGCAGCGTCAAGAGCGTGCTGATAAGGTGTTGTAGGCATAATTTAAACAATTATGGAGGCCATAGAGAGAGAAAGGTGCGGCAATAGTAGAGAAGAAGAGAGAGATGTGTAATTGTGGGGTGTGTGTTATTCCACCCCATTGTGCCTTTATTTATAGTAGTAGGGAAGGTTAATTCATTACCCTTTAGGATTACAATATTTAATAGGTAATCTACTCCTAATAGGAATATAAGATACATATCTACTAAGATTTACACAATCACATTCCTATTCTAATAGGGACTGCAACACTTATATTATTAAATTTAGTACTTAAAGGGTGCGGTTGTTGCACCGGACTGTCTCGGACTGGACTAGTTGTAGGGACTAAGTTGGACTGGCTTAGACTAGACTAAGCTGGACTAGCTTAGTGAAGCGTTTGATGCAGTGTTGGACTAAGAAGCAGGATAATGAAGAAAAAAAAGAAAAAAAAAATAACCGATGATATATAACAAAATATTAATGTTATTTGCTTCAATCCAACAAAAAGTAGCAGATCCGCAATAAAAAAATCGAGGAACAAAGCTAAACATAAGCAATTCTTGGAAACGAAATTGAGAAAACAAAGAAACAATTCCAGAAAATATAACAGTTGACTCTGAGCCACTTATCCTTTACATTCCCAATTCTTGTGTTGCCTTGGGAGTGTAAGGAAGGAACAGAGGTTCTCTGCCTTTCATTGCAATCCCATTTTTGGCTACAAATCCCTACATACTAATTCACTCCAAGTTTCAAATTATACATATACTAAAACCCAACACAAAATACACTGTTCATTAACAGTGTTCTTCCATTTTCACCCCTGCTTTTTTTTTGTTATTTCAACTTTGCCCTTCCTTCTTATATGTCGACCCAGCTTTTCTATAGATGCTTCTCGACTTCTGCTCTCCCCGTCTCCCTCCTTGCCTCTCTTCTCTGCACCAAGCACCTCGATTTAGGGCTTCACCATTTCTCTTCGAATCAAGGTCTCTATTTCTCTCCCTATTTTGTGCTCCTCATTCTATTTTCGTATTTTTATGCTAAAGTTTCCAATTGCTTGATTAAATCGTTAATTAATCTTTTTTTTTCCAAGAAATATTTGGGAAATCCGTCCAGAAAAGGATCGAATCGCATTAATTAGCTAATTTTCCATCTCATCTGATTGTAAATTGGTTTAATTGAACTTTAATTTCATTGTTCAAAGTTCCTAGCTTTCGGTTTCGTGGGAAAATTTCCTATTTAGTTGAAAAATAGGCATTCATTGGTGATCTGGGTTCGGAGCAGATCTGGGTTCCATTGTTTGGTAGCCGAGTTTGGAGAAACAGAGTCTTGGGTTTTGGGAAGAGAGAGAGAGAGGAAGAGGTGGTGGTGTCCATTGTTTGGTAGCCGAGTTTGGAGAAACAGAGAGTCTTGGGTTTTGGGAAGAGAGAGAGAGGAAGAGGTGGTGGTGTGGGAGAGGGAGCGAGGAGAAAAGGGGTATATATGGTGAGAGATTAGGATTAAATTTTGCTTGGAAAATTTGAATTATGTGGACCGAACCCACCTCCTTTTTGTGTAATGTTTGCTGCGGCAACCATATCTCTGTTCTTGACCCAATGCAAGAAGTCAGTAACTTGACCATGAAACCTCCTTTTTTTGCATTATTTGCTGCGGAAACCATATCTCTGTTCTTGACCCAATGCAAGAAGTCAGTAACTTGACCATGACTTGCAGGATGTTTTCATGTGTTATTTTGTTTCCGCTTATGATCTTCAGTAAAGAGGTCGCACTTGGTGCGATGGCAAGTGCCTTCGCCCATGAGCGGTAGGTCTCGGGTTCGAGACTTGGGAGCAGCCTCTCCATAAAATGGGGGTAAGGCTAGCCGACATTCACCTCTCCCAGACCTTGCGTAAAGCGGGAGCCTTGTGCACTGGGTACGACCTTTTTTTTTTATGATCTTCAGTAGATACCCCATGGGTGAAATTTTTGGCTTCCCAAACTGCCAGAAGAGTCAACTCCCTCTTGGGTTAATGCTTTATTCTTCATGCGATTTTTCAATGCTTTTTTATATGGCCCACTAAGTCTGTGACGCTGAAGTTTTAAGCCCCAAATGATTATTTTCTTGCATGAAATTTCTGTCTGCAGGTTTTATGAAGGTGTTGTTTCTTCTTACGACCCTGCCAAAAAGAAACACTTGGTGAGTTGGATTTATGGTCATTGGTCTTCAGGCTATATTGTATGTTTTCTTTTGCGTATCACAAAGATGAAATGTTAGATCGAAGATCTTCCACTACTAGAGTCCTTGAGTTCTAGACATGATCTGAGTATATGTATTTGATCCTCGGTTGTTCACGGCATAACTTGCTGAGTGCTTTTGTAGTTTAGCTATACTAATAAGAAGTGTCATTGCAAGTGTGAGATTGTTTTCTCTTTGTGATATACTGATTTCCTAAATTGTTGGTTCAAATATGTGTAATGGTTCATTATGGCTCGCATATGTTGTTCTTCGATTAGTAGTCAGGGTTGTTAATTTCTCTGCTTTTTTGGTTTGATTCTGTTAATATTTTTGGGTTTTTGGTTGGTTTGATCTGGGTTTTCGAAGTAAGTTCTGCATGTTTGTTGCCGCACAAGGTTTTGATTATCCATTTTTTTTATGGCTTTTGTTAGTATCTCATGTGCTTTTGTTTTTTATTTCAGAAATTTATTGCCCATTTTGGATTCGCTTTGAACTTGGTTGAGACCGATCTAATCCAGCGTTTCCAGGTGAGTTTTGCATGTTTCTCAACGTATATGGTTTCAATTTTTTGTTCCGGTAATAGAAACTATGTCCTTTGACTCTGCTTACATGCTTTTTAACATGGAGAGAAATTGAATTTGTATTTTAGAATTAGTGTTCTTTTTGATGTCCAACAGTCTGGAAATAGTTTTTCGAATTGTAGTTTAGAATTAGTGATCTTGATTCAGAACTTGAAACTCAAAGGATAAGAAACCTCTATTTTCTGTATAGATATATTTCCAAAATATTTTTAACACCTGTAGCAACGCTTGGGCACTTTTTCTAGTTTTAATCTAAAAATTAACGAAACTTCATCCAATTAACAAAACCCAGAATCCCCATTTATGGCTACGAATCCCTACATAACCAAAAGGGGAAATTGCAAAATAACCCATAATCCACTCCAAGTTTCATATTTTAATCCCATAAATTAACGAAATTTCATCCAAATCAACAAAATCCAAAATAACTAGAAGCAAAATAACCAGAATCTAGAATAACTAGAACCCATAACCCAATTCCAAAAAACAAGTAATTAGACGCAAAAATGGAGATGATGATCAAGTTAGAGAGAGGGATGAGAGAGAGATGAACAGGAAAGTGAACAATGGACGCATGGGCGATGAGGACGTTGGACCGTCTAGGGGTTTTCTTTGCTTTCTCAAATGAGAAGTTGAGCCGGACGAGGACGCATCGAGCAGGAAGAGGACCAAGTCGAGTAGTACAGGGACGCAATCAAGCAAGACAAGGATGCGAGCAACGATGGTCGTAGCAGTCCGCTGGTTTTCGGAGTGCCTCGCTAAGACCGTTTAGCGATGGATTTAGTCGTGGCGAGTCCCCCCTTATCCCATTAAAATTAGTCCCTCCAGCTAACAAACAATAGACTACACTAATCTTTAATCTAGTCTAGTCCAATGAGGGCTAGTGAGGCCAAACAAACATCCCCAAAAAGAATTATCAAAAGAAATCACATAACATATAACTTCTGTCACTTCTGCTGATTCTCAGCTTAAGTTTCTGTATTGCACAGTGAAATGACAATTTTACCCGTGTTGTGCGCGTGTTGATCATCGCGTAATGGGAAGGAGGATGCAAAAGCGAAGCCACATCTCTCTCTCTCTCTCTCTTTCTCAAAGGTTCCTCTCTTCTTCTTCCTCTGATCTGAAACCAATCACAGTCAGATTCTCTCTTCCAACACCCTCCTAAAACCTTTTGTTCTACCAGGCAAGTCATTATTATTTAATTTTCCCGATAATTTTATGCTAATTTGGCCTGTTTCCCGTCCTGATTCTAGGGTTTTCCATTTGTTTCCGCTGCTTTCACAGATCTCTTTTCTATCATTCTGGAACTTGCTCTTCGCTCTCACTTCTGTTTCTTCTCTCAAAGGTGAAAACTTTACACGTTCATTTGGATTTCTATGTGAGTTTCGGTTCTGGGTTATCATTATTTACTTGGTTTCTGCTTTTTAGAGTAATAGTCGTTGATTTGTGCTTTTATTTTGGCTGTGATCCTTTTTTTTTCATGTTTGTTTTTCTTATGATGCAGTTTTTGTTTGTATTTTGGTTCATTTTTGTATCAATGCAGTCTCAAATTTCTCCTTTTAGCCTCCTTTTTTTTTTCTGTAATAAGAAGGATGTGGGAAAAGGCTTTGTTGTTGTTGTTGTAAGAAGGATGTGGGAATTCTTCTTTCTTTTGATATTTGTTGTTGTGGGTTTTTTTTTTCTGTTTCTGTTTTCTTATTGCACCTATACATGTTAGATTGTAGCGTTTTGAAGCTGCTTGCGGAAATCTTTCCCAAGTCTCCTGTGAGTATAATACTATCTTGAATCCTTTAATGTTATGACACTGTTGACACATGTTGTGAATGGCAGATAGTAGTTGGTAATTTGGCTGCTTGATCATGTGCCTTGGTTTGGGTATTGGTGAACAAAAGTCAGACTTTCCGTTTCAATTGTTTATCGGTTTTCTCATTCTTGAAGATTATTCCTTAATTTTAGATTGGAACTAATGGAGTTACTAAAAAAAGTTGGTTCTGATGCTTGAAAGGGATTTCCTTTGAACTCTTTATATTTTCATTTCTCTTTTAATTATTAAATCTAGATGGAGCCTAGATATCACCCTTAGTTTCTCAATGGTTCTTCGTTGTATATCTGTGGGACATTTATGCCCATGATACATGGTCTCTGTTCGTGTGTGTGTGTGTGTGTATCAATCTATGAACTAAGACTGTCAATTATACACATAAAGTCTAAATGACTATGATGTTATCAGATTGAGAATCTAGCAATTACGTGATTGTTTGGAAAAAGAATATTGTTCTATCTGTACATAAGGTTTAGAATACCTGGACCCAAGAACTCAATTAAGAACATGTAACTTTCTGAGCACGTTGTTACATCTCAAACAGGGAGCGAATTGACCTCGAGCACATATTTCATAAGAACATGTAACTTTCTGAGAACTTATTTTTTGTCTTGGTCTTGCTGATTCCGGTTGCGGCTGGACCCTTTAAAACGTTGATATCACTGTAGATCAATTTTGTCAAGCCTAGGCTCAATTTTTTCCGGCTTCGTTCTGATCATTGCGTTACTGTTCAGGAGATTCAGTTGTCAAGGTTCAAAGCGAAAAAACTCTTTTACAGATGGATTTCCTTGCTTTAACCCATTATTTTTGTGTTTCTGGATGTTGGTTTTTCTTATTTTATTTATTGTTTTATTAATTTTGGTTATGTGATTTGTGATTTTTGTCCTTCCTTTTTCTTGAATTTTGAGGTTTTTTTTTTTTTTTTTTCTGTTGTTTTAAGGGTTTTTTTTTCCTCTACTGAATTTAGAGTTGGCTAAATTTTGTTGATTTCTTTTTATCTCTGTAGGAAATTTTAGCGTTGTGGTCGCATCACCCTTAAGACTGTGCGTGGCATCTGTGTGCCCATCAAAGGGTTTATAAACAACCAAAGGATTATTGAAAACGGGCTTCCGTCTGAGGTGGTGGTGGATATTTCCCAATATTACTTTTCTTTGCTGATTTGGGTTGATATTATCAATGTGATTTTCTTTTAAATGTTTTGACTATGAATTTAGTTTTGAATTTTGTGTTTGCCTGGATATGTTCGAAAATATATGCATTTGAGAATCTTGGGGAATCACAAATATTGTAGGTACTGAATTTTGTCAACTATCTTTTAATTCGGATTAATGGTAGGATATTCATACTTTGTAGAATTAATTAGTGCTAAGAGTGATTCATAAGTATTTAACCCAACAAAAAACTTTGTTTTTTGTGCAAATGCATGTGTTTCCTTCTTAAGAGTATACAACTATAGATAGATCTCAAAGACAAACGGACAGATAGGCTCTGAATTAACCAAGATACATACATCTAATACGTGCAATAGATATATAAAAATGGTACCACACACATATATATATATCAAGAAAAGTGTGTGTGTGTGTGTGTGTGTATTGTAAGAAATGTGAAATTATACATAGGTAAGTTAATTATTAAGAAAATTAAGGAAGAATAATTTTACCAGAAGTAGAGGTTGTATTTGGAGTAGTCGTGGTCTTTTGATAGCCATGGAAACCTCCTGATTGTTCCATTGTATTTTCCTGCCTGAGAAGACACGAGTGATTTGGTTGATTGCATAGGATTTGTGCATATTAAAACTGCACATGTATAATCTCTTTTTATATTGCCTTCAACTAATGAAAAATGATGGTTATCTTCATTAATTCGAGGAGATAGCAACTGTTTGTCGTTGATTCAACATGACATTGGTTTCTCCTCAACTAATGGCTGTCTTTTTTTTTTTTATACTTTTATGTTTGTCTTTTTTGTTAACAAATTTATATTACCTTCAACTAATGTAAAATGGTACTTATCTTTGTTAATTCAAGAAGGTAACAACTGTTTGTCATTCATTCAAGCTAACATTAGTATAGATTATAGTAAAATGAAGTTTGAAAAATATAAGTTTTTTCAGGATATGCAAAAACTACGAAAAATATAAAGGTCGTACCCAGTGCACAAGGCTCCCGCTTTACGCAGGGTCTGGAAGAGGTGAATGTCGGCTAGCCTTACCCCCATTTATGGAGAGGTGAATAAAAAAATTTTATTCAAATTCTTGGTGGAACAAATTGTGTTTTGCTGTGGAATCACCAATCTATATGTTTTTAGTTATTTTTATAATGCTTGAATTATGCTTTATAACTTTTCATAGGGTTTTTCTGCACTGAATTGGATAAATGGTTGATGGGTTTGGTGCCATATTTATTAAAAAATGAAAAACGGGGACAGGGGAGCAGAACACAATTATATATAGCATTGCTTAATTTTCTTTCAAATCAAAGATGTGCCAACGGTGTTGAGAACAATGGCTAATTTAAGTTGATTGATTGATAGGTTTGGTTCCGTACTTATTGGGGGAAGCCAATAGAGAAAAAAAATTTGTTAGGAAAAGTGGTCCATTTGAACATGGGAATTGGGAAAGTAGAATTGGAAGGGGAAGTGCGGTAAAGGAAAGAACTCCATTATTTTCTTTTCACGAATAAGCTCTTTCCGATTTTCATTCCTCATGCACTGAGAACGCTGTAAATTGATTGAGGTTAATGTAATTCATTGGATAACATTGTTTATAGTTGAATTAAACTTTGTGTCTTTCAGTAAGTTTCTATCATTTGAACCAAGTGAAAAAAGAAGTTAAATTGAAATAGGCAGAGAGAGAAAAATTAGAACTTAAACCTGTGATATTTATAAATGTGAACATTAAAACCAATCATGGTGCAAAAAATAAGGGTGTTGGTCTTTCTCAGTAATAGAGCTTTGTAAATATTTATATTTCAGTTTGAAAATGTATCGATTACTTTATATTGGTTCTCTCCCTAATTGATTATAGTAGGCACAATTGAAATAATCTATGCAGTTGTCAATGATATTTTCTTTTTACTAACATGCGTTTTCTTTTTAATAGTATACGAACATAAAAAAACTCTCCAAACTTTCAAAGAAAGCAGCAAGATCTTTAAAAAAATTGCAAGAGACAAACTCTGCAGAGTTTGAAAATCACTGTGAGCGCAGTCATTCAGCTGCTTGGGCTTCTTTCCTCCTCCAACAAAATATCTAGGTATTTTTCCACATTTTACCCTTCTCAGATTCAATCTTTCAGACGTTTTTATTTTCGAGCTTTGAATTTTATGTGAGGTTGAGAATTGGGAATAATTCTGTAGTGTTATAAATTATCGTTAATTACTTCGGGTTTAGAGGAAGGGAGAATGAAAAAACTGAGAGAAATGGAAGAAGAAATGTAGTTGAGAGAAAGCAAAGAAAATGGCTGGGTCTTTTACTTGGGTTTTTGTTTGGGGTTTACATTTTAAACAACAAAAATCAATTTGGCGAGTATTGCTCCCTACTTGCGTGCTCTCTTATTTATGATTTTATATAGCTTAAAATTTTTATTTGACAATTGAGGTTCTTTTAATTATGATTGGCTATGTGACGGTAACTGTGGTGGTATAATGAAATTTTAATTGTGCTATCAATTTTAATAGTAAATCAATTTAATTTCTTTGGTTATAAAGTTTATAGTCTGGAATTTAATAGTTTTTTATTTTGTTTTAGTGTCACTTTTGTTCTTACTGTGAAATATTGGTTGGTGTTTTTAAATTATTGTACTTTTTTTGGTCCTTTTTTTTCTAGGCTGACTAATGCATGTGTCCAAAAGTAAGGTTTTATGGTTATTATGCTTTTCAAATTTATCATTGGTGTAAAATTTTAAAGCTTTAAAATTATCTTTATCAGGCCTGATTTAGGCTATAAATTCAGAGGCTTTTCAATAGCCCAGTTTGCAACATGGAATTCATAGGCTTTTCATTTTTCGCTTTGATTAACATGTGTGCCTGCCTTCTCAGTTCAAAACTGGGTTACATATCATTTTACACCATATTCTCATGTTTTTTTATGCATTTTTACGTCCAGTAGTTTTAACACCCGCAACAACGCGCAGGCACCATTGTTAGTTTTCGGGCTAAAAAGAAGTCCTTTCGAGTTTGGACTTTGGACCATGGGTCGAGAAGAGAAGGCTAAATTTGAAAAGCTTTGCAGAGCGGCTGATTGAAAAGCATGGGAAAGAAGACGACGGCCGTCGCCATGTCGTCGTAGAACCGCAATAGCTGTCGACTTGAATCATGTTGCTCCATAAATCAGGGCCCCCAAAACCTGAGTGTCCTCTTTCCATTCAACTTTTCTACCCTCTGGTTTCCAATGGTCAAGTAAAAGAACCCAGTAAGTTGCCTCAACCCGCACCTACTCCACAGCAGTGCTCTCAACTTTGCCATCCCAACTATTCTCTCGACAATGTTGCCTATACAAAACTTGTCCAACACGCTACCAAAACTGGGTCTTCGCTCCACGGCAAACTTGCCCACGCCCACATCATCAAAACCTCCTTTAAGCCCTGTATGTTTTTACTCAACAATCTTCTCACCATGTATTCCAGGCTCGGAGAATTCGACAGTGCACGCCACCTGTTCGATAGAATGCCTAAGCGGAATCTCATTTCGTACAACTCCTTGATTTCTGGATATAACGAGGTGGGTCTGTTTGATAAGGCCATGGGTGTTTTTAACGAAGCAAAAATGGCTGGTTTAAAACTTGATAGGTTTACTTATGCAGGTGCTTTGAGTGTGTGTGGTCAAACCGGTGATTTTGAGCTGGGTAAGCTGGTTCATGGATTGATAGTCGTCAACGCGTTGGGCTCAGAAGTTGTTCTGACCAATTCTCTTATTGATATGTACTCCAAGTGTGGCCGAGTTGATCATGCTAGGAATTTGTTTCAGAGTTCGGATAACTTGGACCTTGTCTCATGGAATTCCTTGATTGCTTGCTATGCTCGAATTGGTGCTAACGAGGAAACATTGACCACTCTAGTGAAAATGCATCAGTGTGGGTTGAGCTTGAATACCTATACACTGGGGAGTGCCCTCAAGGCGTGTGGCAAAATTCTTGACAATTCAGGACTATTTGGGAAAATACTTCATGGATACAATGTCAAACTGGGGTTGGACTTAGATGTTGCAGTAGGAACGGCATTGCTTGATATGTATGCAAAGACTTGTGGCTTAGGTGAGGCGATACAAATATTCAAATTCATGCCTTACCGCAATGTTGTTTTGTATAATGCCATGATTGCGGGGTTCCTCCAAATAGAGACCTTTTCTTATGGACATGCAAATGAAGTGTTTAATCTTCTATCAGAGATGCAAAGGCTAGGAATCAAGCCATCAACATTTACTTTCTCAATCATATTGAGAGCTTGTAAATCGGTTGAAGCTCTTGAGTACGGGAAACAAGTTCACACTCAAGTCTACAAGTATGACCTACAGGGAGATGAATTCATTGGAAGTGGGCTTATTGATGTCTATTGTTCTTTGGGTTTATCCAATTATGCGTTGAGATGCTTTAACTTAACTCCTAGGCTAGATATTGTCTCGTGGACATCCATGGTTGCAGGTTATATCCAAAATGGGGAAATTGAAAGTGCATTTGATTTATTTTATAGACTCCTGGAATCTGGAATGAAGCCTGATGAATTCATAATATCAAGCATGCTGGGTGCGTGTGCTGATTTGGCTGCAGCAAGATCTGGAGAGCAGATCCAAGGATATGCTGTAAAAGCTGGATTTGGGAAATTCACTGTTGTTCAAAATTCACAGATATGCATGTATGCAAAAGCTGGAGATATTGATTCTGCTAATTTTTCCTTTACAGAGATAGAGAATCCTGATGTGGTTTCCTGGTCCGTGATGATATGTAGCAAAGCACAACATGGATGTGCAAATGAAGCCTTGAATCTTTTTGAGTTGATGAAGACTTGTGGAATTGCACCCAACCACATCACTTTCCTTGGAGTTCTGACTGCATGCAGTCATGGAGGGCTAGTAGAAGAAGGTTTACGGTAGGTTATAGAAACTGAAAATTTAAATTTCATTGCTTTTGTTTGATTTGAAATAAAAATCGTAAAGATAAGGAAACAAGATTAAATAACTCCATTTTCCTTCTCAAAGTTTCTGGGAAAAATATGTGAAATAAGATACGAAGTATGTATATTTGTAAGAATTTCCTTACGTATTCTTCAAGGAACCAAATACAGTAACATAAACAATTTCCCTCCGTTTTCCTTCTTCACACATCTCTTGTTCTTTCTTTTAGCTCAAATCTTTTTGAAAGTGAAACAAACTTCATCTTATGCTTCTCACTCCTTGTTTTTGTTCACAATTCACCAATGGTTAATATTCTGCTCTTCAGTTTTTTCAGTAAGTAATTTTCGTGAATTTGGGACTTGGTTGGGAAAGTAAGAGGTGATAAGTTGCAGGGAACTGAAATTAACAATAGCGTAGGTAAACCATCTAAGAAGTCATGAAGGGAAGAAAGCGTGGAGCATTTAGATGTAATGAGGAAAATGTATTGTTTTGTAGTGTTGAACTGCTGGGAATCAATTTATAATTGAATAGGAATCATTTGGAGAGGTATGCCATTAGAAATTTATTTTGTGGTTTCTAGGTCATCATGTGACTTTGGAAGAGACTCTAAGAAAAGACTTAGAGTACATGGATCTAACGAAAGACATGGCACATAACTGAGCGGAATGGCTTTCTAGGATTCATACAGCCGACCCCACTTAGTGGGAAAAGGCTTTGTTGTTGTTGTTGTTGTTTTGTTTCTAGGTCATCATGTCAGGCCTTTTCAATTGCAACCCAATATTTGGTTTGTAAAAATGAACACTTGTGAATGCACTTTAAATGCTCACTTCCAGGGTGTGTTAATTTCTTGACTCTTCTTGTTAATGCAGATATTTTGAAACAATGAAGAAAGATTATGGCATGTCAACCAATGTAGAGCACTGTGCCTGCGTTGTTGATCTCCTAGGTCGTGCAGGAAGGCTAGCAGATGCTGAGAAGTTCATTTTCAACTCATCTTTTGAGGATAATCCAGTTATGTGGCGAGCCTTGTTGAGTGCTTGCAGGGTTTATATGGACACTGTTGCTGCAAAACGTGTTGCAGAAAAACTAATTGATCTTGAACCTCAAGCTGCTGCATCATATGTTCTTCTGTACAACATTTACAATGATGCTGCGATAGAGTTACCGGCCAAAAGAATTAGGGAACTGATGAAAAATCGAGGAGTTAAGAAGGAACCTGGTCTAAGTTGGATAGAGGTAGGAAACAAAGTTCATTCTTTTGTTAGTGGCGATCGGTCTCACCAAATGGTTCAATTAATATATACTCGGTTGGTTGCGTAAGATACAGAAAATAGATTGTATTGTTGGTAAGTTGATTACTTCTGAACTGTAACTTAAGGACAGCAAAGTGAACTACCACAGTAAAAGTTAGCTGTAACTTTTGGAATTATCAGCTTGCCACCATCAGCTCCAATTAGGGTGATGAAGAATTTGAGAGTCTGCTGTGATTGTCATACAACAATGAAGCTCTTCTCTGAGGTGGAAAAAAGAGAAATAATCCTAAGAGATCCTATTCGTTTTCATCATTTCAGAGATGGTGCTTGTTCTTGTAGAGATTATTGGTAGCTGCATTGTGTATGTAATATGTATTGAGAATTGAGATTATTACCTGGATACCTGGATAAATGCTCTCTTGCGGAAGTACAAGAGTCCTTCGGTCAAAACTCAAAGACACAGAATAAATGGATCCTATTTGGAAGAAGGTACATGGGACGAAGCTAAAACAGATTTGGAAACATCGTATGGGAAACTAATTTGGATTCATCGGTACACAAATATGTCAAAGGAGCATGGTATATTTAGGTATAATTTATTGATCTCAATGATTTAAATTTAGTTTAATGGAAAGTGCGACAAAGTTATTTGCCTTGGCTCAGTTTGTTTCGATAGAAAATAGTACGCTAAAAAGTCATGAGTAGACTTTTAACTTTATATTTATTTTAACATATCAACAAGTTCTTAGTTTTTCCAGGAAATATTTGTCTAGAAAAAAGTATGAGACTATATAATTTGTTCATTATGTTGAATTGAGACCATTACTAGACCACAATAAGACAAAACCGTGGAATAAGAAAATCCCTAAATGCTTTGAAATTGTTTCCTTGTTTGTTCCCCCCCCCCCGGCCCCCCCTAATAGAAACATATTTCCTTAAATCTTTACAGATTTGATTTTTTAGCTTTCCTTCATCTGTTATATGCTTTCATCTAGTTTCCTTTTCTAGCACTTTCATTTATTACTGGAAATGCTAGGTAGAGAAGCAATTGATTGATTGCTTGGTAGAGAAGCATTTGACCTTGGAACAGTATCATCTGTGGCAGGTTTCTTCTCCTAAATGTGTCAGTTTTTGTTCTTCCTCGTTCAGATTACACAACTTTACTCAAAAGTCCTAAACTGGAGATGGTGTTTTCCTTAAGATGCCAGATCAGTTGCAATTCCTCCTATGGGATTATGATTGTTAAAAGGAAGGTCCATATTGTTTATGATGGAGACGCTTGTTGGAGATTGATCTTCAAGCCAAGCAATTGACCTCAGAAACTTATCTATATTTCAGGTAACTTTTATTGGCTAAGATAGTTCTCTGTTTACTCTGGACTTTTAACTGAAATCTTTGATTATTATTAGGATCATCTACTTTTATTAATTTTTTTATTAGCAAAGGGTTGGAAATTCACTTCTTTTATTAATTTTTTTTATTTGTTGATTCTTAGAGTTCTATTATTATTAGGATCAACTACAGAAAACTCCCCAAACTCTTGGATCGTTTCCAAGGTACTCCTTCACATTTTCAAACTTATACCCGAAATAAAATAACAACAACAACAACAACAAAGCCTTTTCCCACTAAGTGGGGTCGGCTACCCGAAATAAAATAAAACCTAATAAAATAAAACCTACAAATTGATCCTTCCATTAACTAGCCTGTTAGTAAGTCTTTTTAGTGTCTGTGTGGACGCTGTGAATCCCACGTTTTACGCTTATGTGGACTCTAAATCTGTGCCACTTGGAAAAAGATATTATAATATGCATAAGCCTTTGAAAAGAAAATGAACACCATGCATTAGAAGAGCAAAAGAAAATAACAATGAAAAGCAAAACAAACAAAACAAAATCTCTCTTTCTCGGATGCAAAACCAGCATGTAAAACTTGTAAGAACTACCACCACTAGTGCGAGTATCATGTATTCTACAAATGCACTAGGTCATGCAAATAATCTTAGTCGTATGTTGAATATCCTTTTAGAAGGTTGTTTACTCTTAAATGAAATACAAACGTCATTTTCCAACTGAATTTGGTTGACAAATTAAATGCTGAAAATCTTGTTTAGTAATCCTATTCAATTATATACCATACTTACTCTTTTCCCGACCAATTATAGGTGATACCTATATCCTTGAAGATGCTACAGTTAAGAGCAATATTACGGTTGAGTTGACTCCTTGCAGCCACCGAAGTACTTCCCTATATAACCATCTCATGTGCAACTTCCGGAAGGTACCTGCTGCTTCTTTGTATTCCCAAGCATGGCTAAAAATACGACTAAGCATGAATTGATTTCTCATGAACCAAGCAGGAGAGCAACCTTAAAAAAGAGGAAGGCTAGTTTCTTCAGAAAGCTGAATGAGATCACAACTTCATGCGGGGTTATTGCATGTGCTGTTATTTACAATACTTCTGATACCAAGGCGGATGTGTGGCCTTCCCATAGGAAGCATTTTATGTACTCGAAAAATTCAAGAATTTACCTGAAGAAAGGCAAGGTAAGTTCATGGTGGATCAAGAATCCTTTCTTAAGAACAATATATCCAAGCTGAACAGACAATTGGAAAAAGCGAAATTTAAGAATCAAGAACTTGATGAGAAGCTGCTTTTGATTGAATACCTGAAACTGGAAGGTAAGAATTTTCTTGATCCTGGTCGTCTTGAAAGTTTGATCGGACTTGATCATCAATTGGATAAAAGAATTGATTTCACTACTAAGCGGATTGAGTTCTTCGAGGGTGTGGGGCGCAACCAAGTTGATGCGGGAGTTGATTCTGATGAGATGGTGGCTATTTTGGTGTCTGGAGGTGTAGTAATTCAACCAATTCAAAATAAACTTTGTGAGCAGAGAGCATAGTATTGATGATACAGGTAATCCTATAAACCTTTAGCATTGTCCCAAATGTACTTTTATTTTCGTTTATCTGAATAAACGTAGTTTTCATCTTTCAGTTATGCTCATAGCAATGGTGTTTTAGGTCAAGATAATTTTCGCTTTGATGTGTAATTTAAACATGATTATGACTCTTTGAACGGCTTACAAGGGAAAATCACTCGTAAGATTACACAGTATGCCGATGTTCATTCTGAAGCTTAGTTGCCTTCTATGGAAGAACTAACGGCTTCAAATGATTGAAGGCTAGTCCTTTCTTGTAGGCATATTTTAACAGTAGAAGGTTCACTGAGAAGGTACATAATCTTTGATGTTTGCATTCTTTACACATGAGCCAATTTTTTGGTTCAGTAAAACAAGCATTCTTTTGGTCAATGACACATCTCAACATCTTTTATTTGGTTACTAAACGGGATCGACCCAAGAATGATTCTAAATGAGAGTAAGCCTTGACGTTACGAACATGTTGCTCCTTTGTGAAATATGTTGAAACAGCCCATTTGCAAAAGTGAACAACCTATTTGCAAAAGTGAAGTAAGACTGCCTACAATAGACGTTACCCAACCCTCGCAATGTGGAGAGCCTTGTTAGTTTAGGGTGTTGATTCATTCACACGCAGTCTGTGTTAGTATCTTGACTAAAGGATCCGATACCCTCGTCCAGGCGAAAACGAAAGGAGAAACACAGAAGATGTAGCCAGCGTTTGTTGTTTGAACTAAATTCTATACTTGTGATTATATTTGCATGTGATCTAATATCCTAATGGATATAGTGTTGGCCTTCTACCTATTTGTTTCGTGTTCGAAACTCTCTTATCCTATAATAGTTTTGAACATTCTCATTCCCTTTAATAATAATAAATAAATAAAAACATTAGCTAATACACAAAAATGGTTAATTACACTAACACCTCTTGAGGTTTATTGTTTTTTAACAAAACCCCCTCAGGTTTGAAACATTACAATAAAACCCCTTCATGTTTTAATTCACCTTCACATCCACCACTTAAGGACCCCTTAAGTACGAAATTAACCTTGTAGTTAATTACATAAAAATAAAAATTTATAGATAAATAAATCACATTCAAAAAATTACATTTAAACATTAAAAGGAAAAAAACAAAAGAAATCCTTTTGTAAGATTTATCAATGTGAAAAATTGGCATCTGATTTCTCCAGAGGCTATTGATTGGCTATTGATTTTCTAGATAAGCTTCTTCGATATGATCACCAAAAGCCTTACAGCAAAACAAGCAATGGCTATGCATGTTATTGAATCCTTCGGTAAAAAAGACATTGTATATATGCCCATTTGTCCTTGGGTGGAGCATGTGAACACAAAGAGATCAACAGAGGAAAATATTTTCGTAGCTTAGGATGTTCGCTGCATCCCTTGTTTTCAAAGTTTTAATGCTGATATTCTTTCTTTGAAAAGAGAGGGAGGGTGGGGTGGGTGCAGGCTAAGAAATTGGAAGGGAAGAAGAGATGCGATGATATATGATGCATGCATTTAGGGTGCTGGCTAAGAAATTGATAGGGAGGAAGGGATTCATTGAATATAAGATATGCATCTAGGGTTTTTTTTTTAATGTTTTAATATAATTTTCTTATTTTGATTTTTGTCCTATTTATTTATAATAGTTTTTATTTTTAAATAATTAACTACAAGGGTGATTTCATCCTTAAGGGGTGGGGGTGGATGTGAAAGTGAATTAAAACATAAAGGGGTGTTAGTGTAATGTTTCAAACCTGAGGGGGCTTTGTGAAAAAACGATAAACCTCAAGGGGTGTTAGTGTGATTAACCCTACACAAAAATTTTATATTCTTCTTTCATATTATAAGCTTGTGTTCTTATGCTAAATTCTCCAATAGTCATTGTGACGACTCGTCCCTAATTTTACGTTTTTATTAATTTTAAAAGCATGGATTTACGAAAATGTCCTAGAGGCAAGGACTTTGACTTCCGTTGACCATTGTTTAGAGGAACGTATGACTTATTCTTTTAGCGTATCCTCGTAGTACTCGTTGGTACGAACGCATAGGCGAAAGCCGTTTGCAATTCCTGATTATAACGGTATAGTTACGGACATTTGAAATTGGTTATTTAAAGTTAGTTAAATAAATTGAACTCCCATCTTGTGGGAAAGAAGCCAATCAGCTTTCAGTAAGGAAATAAGGAACCAATCATATTATTTCTTTTGAGGACCAATCAGAAAAGTGGAAAGAAAAAAAAGGGCCAATCAAGGAGAGGGAGAGAAGCTCCCAGCTTCTCCTTCCCGTTGACCCACACAACCCAGTTCGACCACCCACTTTCCAAGGCCGATTCCGGCCAACTCCGGTGGAGTTTTTTGACGCCACCACCACCATCTTGAAAATCTCATTCCCTTCTACAAAACCCACCCAAGAACCACCTTGATTAACCACGGTATGTGGCGCTTTGAGGCCACGAAAGTTGACGAAAATCAACAGTGTTCCGGTCACTCTTTTGAAATTTTCGGCGAATCAGCAAAGCGATGGCTGATGCCACCACTTGGGCTTTGTAGCCCATCATCCCAGGAGCAAATCCTGACCAGCCTTGACCTCGTTGGACCACCGTAGACGACTAATTGACGCCAGGAAGCTTTAGGCACCCACCGGCTTTGTGGGAAAAATTGATCATCTTCCGTCCACTTTTGGCCTTGGCCACATGTATGAAAGTTTTTCCTCTCTTTGAGATCTTTATTTATGTGAAATTTGAGAATTTTTAGAAATAGTGAAATTTTCTGGCGAATTGTGGCGGCTAGCCACTGCGTGTGGAGGCGCGTGGGCCGAGACCCCACCTGACCATCTTAGGCTAATTTGGATGCCCCGATTCCATATTTAACATCCACACCGTTCGCTCGTCTTGGATCCAAGTTAGGTGCCAGCCTGTCGGGTAGATTGCATTAGGCAATCCGACTTGTATGTGACCCGTGCCTTCTGCACCAGCTTCACGTGATCGTAGTACTAGAGCGCATTTATTACACCCAGCCTGTCAGGTAGAATTACCTTAGGTAGTTCCGACTTGTGTGCTAGCATAGATTGATGAGCACTTAGCTATAATTGATTATCTCATGATTATATTACTGTGGCATTCGATATATCATGTCTTGGCATATTACTGGTTATAGTGTTGTTGTATTATTGTTTACATACTTACGTAGTATGTTTCAAGGAAACTATACTTGTTTTACAGCAATGGGTTAATATGTTCGAAAATAAAGGTTTTCTTCCAAGCATTGTTTTGCTGACCCACTCAACTTTGTTTTTCGCCCCTCCAGGTTTTGTAGCTATGCTTACGTGTAAACGAGGATGCTGGCAAATCTCAGGAGATGGTTATCTTCAGTGGTATAATCCTCACCCTAATTACTGTACTGTTCTTATGCTCTGACATCACGTGTGAAAGGGGTTCAATCTTTCTCACCCGTGCACTCTCTTGATTAGGCACCTTTAGGCTTAAATTATTCATATTCTATTTCCACTACACTACACTTTATGGTTTCGTCACCCTTCAGGTGTCGGCCATCACAACTCGACTCGGGTTCCAAGTAGACATTCTAGGTCGGGGTGTGTCAGTCATAATATAATTAGAAATACAATATATGAATGCTATTTTATAATTAAATCCACTTTAGTTGTCGCTATTGATGTTGGCTGGTGATTGTTGATGCAAATTTCGTACATGATTAAATTGACGAAATTTCACCTACAAAACAAGAATCATCATTAGCCTAATTGACGGACACCTAAGAAAAAAGGGGAAGGGTGTCCGCGAAAAGATTTTTGATGCCTACTTCAGAAAGAGATAGTTTAATAGAAACTATGAACTTGAGAGAGTTTTGAGTAGTAAGTGGCGATAAATGTTTTTCTTGTTTGACTTGACTATTTATAAACTAAAAACCTAACAGACAACCGGGACAGAATGTTACAGGCCATACTAGGCAGATTTTATCATTTTACTAAAGACACTTGTGGTTAGGGGTCATCGAATTTTGGGTTAGGTTGAGGGAGGGGTGCGGCGGTGGAGTTGAATGGGAATATATATATATATAGCATCGCTTGGTATGGTTGAATCCAGTCTCTGTAATGGACCTATCCATTTTGATTGCTTTCCAGATCTCACCATAAGTCTATCCGACCCACACATGCTAAAAGCACTTACACTAAATATCAAAACTTCAGGATATAAAGTCCTTGAAGGAACACAGCCTTTGGCCTTAATTTACAGAATTTATTATAAAGTCACTGGCACAAATATGAACTTTCAGGCTTTAACCAAAAGTCCGAAGGATCATACTCTCTTGATCCAAACCAATCAAGAGAATGCCAACATTAAAATACCTAGAACCATTAGGTGGTCAGAAATCAATCTTCCTTCAGATTGGTGTCTGATAAATGAAAGTCGGCCGGTAGCCATCCAAAACAGTCTCGTCAATTTAGACAACATAGAACAATACTTTGACAGAACGGTTAAAATTAATTTTGATCGTCCTGCCAGAAAGTCTTGCGACTCTAATAGATCACTTAAATCTTTTGCTTCCAGTAGGAATTCTTTCTCTGGATCTATGCCAAACGATAGGCAAGGTCGTGACCAAGAATTAATCAATTCTTTAGCTAATAGGAAATTAAAATCAGTAGATACAGGCTCATTGGTCACCCATCAAGAATTAATAAATGACCTTTTAAATTTTAAACTTCAATCACTTGAGACAAACGCCCAAGTAGTCCAGCCTACTTACCATACCCCATCCATTCCTAATAAGGAAGAACAAATATCCCCAACTGCTTCTGACTTTGATGCAGAACCAGTACATCACCAACTATTGGTATTAACCAGACAAGAACCTTTTAAATATGATCGTAAAAAACTCTGTAGAGACATAGAAGCCTTAGAAAATGTCTCTCGGCGAAACTTCTTCAGGAGTAAGTACACTACTAAAGAAAAAACTAAAAATCCATAAGGCATGGAAAGATTTCATGCAAACTAACAGACTTGAAATATTTTTCTTCGACTTCGTTGAGAACCATTATGAGTCTGAAAAACAAGTACAGGTAATAACCAAAGAAAATTGGCTTAAAGAAGACAAGACAATTGTCTCCTCCAGTCACCCGCCAAAAGAAACTATTCTTATTAGTACTGCGAATACACAAATCCTAGCATCACCGTTCAAACTTCCAAAGGAAGATGCAGGTGTCAAACCTGTCATTGAACAAAACAATTTTACCAACCAAAGCCTACATACCATAGGAAAACAGTTGGATAAAATTGAAACAAAAATTGACAATTTGTCGATCAAACCTCTTAGTAAAGAAATACCCTTAACCAGTTTTAGGGAGTCACCCTCTTTAAAAACCTCAACATCTATTAAGATAGAACAAATGCTCAA